CTCATGGTTAATTTCAAATTAAATTTACGGCCTCTGCTTGAGAGGCATTAGGTCAAACCATAAACTACCACGGTGCATGTAAACGTACTTATAGTCATATGTTATAAGTTCTAAACATATTCCTTCGTCTACAATTACAACTCGTACTTTTTTTGACACCAAGTGACGGGACGATAAAGTCGTGCGCCTGGTCTTAAGGGACATGTCTGTCTATAGCAGTTGCAGTGCCATTAAAGCTTTAAATCGTAAAGATCTGGTAAACACTGCCAGTCTTAGAGGATGGGAAAAAAGCTGTCACTGCGCGTGTCACCCTGACACATAAGTTGACAAATTTCATGTGCATTCATTTTAAAAGTACTATTTATTACACTGTACTAATAGCCTCACATAACAAAACAACAACTACAATATCTTTCAGTTATATAAAAACAAAACCACTAGAAATATAATTCACAAATTCTATTGGAAGGCATCGAAATGTAATCGATAGCTAAGGTCAATATTGACTCTCGGTCCATTGAACATTCTTCTAGGGTTACCATGAAGCTTGTTTCTGAGGACACTTTTATTTTGCAACGTGTATTTAGATATTAACTAGGACACTCTACAAACGAGAGAGATAATTTCACTAGATGTATAACCGAATCTGCTTGCTTATAAATTGCAGCTTTTTTACGATCAACAACTAACCAACTTGTTAAACATAACTATGGGAAACTTTACCTTTAACGTGCATTCTAGATTATGAGATCATTGTTTTTATTTATTTGGTTTATCGAAAGCAATTACATTAAGACTTAGTTACTAGATACATTGATTTGATTTTAAATTTGACGCGCAGGTAATTACAGGTAAACACCTCATGCAAAAAGTGGCAAAACTAGCCTCTGAAATTACTACATGTTATTATTAAAAAACATATATCTACCTTTTTTACAATACCAAGGGATGAATAAGTTGTGCGCCTAGTGATAAGCAACACGCCTATTCATAATAGTTGCTGTGCCACTTAGAGCTTTTATGCTCACATGCAACTGCTTGGCGGCAGAAATAGATAAGGTGGCAGAACTTCCCTGGACCAACTCCTTCACAAGGAGCTCTATGTCTCCACAACAGGAGTGCACGAAAAGATTCTCCCCGTAATGACATATGAATCGTATTCCCAGTACTACTGGCACACCTTGGACAACAGTCCGCGAGTACCTTATGTCGATTAGCAAATCCCTTGACCACGATGGCAAACATGCCATGCCATGCCAAACATGGGAATGCACTGTTCAACAAGGCTGCTACTTGTGACGTGATCAGGGTGGCTAAGTTCTGGGCCGCGATAATGAATAAATAGTGTATGCCATCGCTACGATAACAAAAAGGTTAACAAAATGCTATTTTAATTTAAAATTCAACAAGGCTGCTATTTGTGACGTGATCAGGGTGGCTAAGTTCTGGACCGCGATAATGAATAAATAGTGTATGCCATCGATAGGATAAGAAAAAGATTAACAAAATGCTATTTTAATGTAAAATTCAACAAGGCTGCTACTTGTGACGTGATCAGGATGGCTAAGTTCTGGGCAGCGATAATGAATAAATAGTGTATGCCATCAATACGATAAGTAAAAGATTAACAAAATGCTATTTTAATTTAAAAATTTTCAAAAACAACGACAAGCAATCTTCATGAATGTATAAATTAATTAATTTAAAAATTTTTAAATTTATTAAAAATTAATATATTCGAAATATTCCCTATTTATATCAAATAAGTTACAATTTCGGTAAATGGGTGAGTACGTACCGAATTCAAAATTCTTCTTAGGCTTAGATGAGTAAATATATTGTTTAAACCAGGAAATTCTTTCATTGTTATTTAATATGGAAACCATATTCAAGGTTCAATTTACCGCACAGCGGACAACGGACTTTGAATTTTTCATATATACCTCGAATACATTTAACACATAATTGGAAACGAGTTTTCGTAAAACAAATATTACCATGAGGGAAAATGAAATGGACTGATAATTGAACAGAGGAAATTCCATTTATATTCTCTGCGTTTTTAGTGAGCAGTGAGCTTTGTGGATAGTAGCTTTTTCTTTTTTTTACATCAATTTACGAAATCAACAAGTTGTGCGCCTGGTGGTAAGCGACACGCCTGTCTATAGTAATTGTATTGCGTCACTCAGAGCTTTAAATCGCAAAGATCTAAGGGACACCGCCACTGCGCATGTCACCCTGAGACGCCTCGCCTGAATTTCATCAGCGCCTTACCCTTTATTTCAAATGATTGTTCACAAATTCCCAAGTGGCAAAAATAAGGCAATTACACGGAATAGCGTGAGTGTAATCGAAATTAATTTTAAGTCCGACATATTAACCGAGAGATCAACCCATCCTGAATCCGGTTGCACGTCGGTAGGACAGCCCGGTAATGGAATACTGATTGAACATACATGCAGGTTAAATATTAAGGCGCTATGATTTTTGTAATTAAAGTCCCTAAAATATCGAAGCGGAAAGAACTCACGTTAAATTGATTTCTTTTATTATATTATTATTATTACTAAATATTTTATTTCGAGTAACTTTAACACAACTCATATTTCGGACAACCGTTTCAGTTTCATGTCAATTTGTATGTTGTTGTTGCTTGAAGAAAAATGTATGTGTAATATTGTTTTAGATAATTTATATATTTAAATTCCATTATACTCGTAGATTAAACGTAGAGTATTTTTAGTTTTTAAGTTTTTTCAATGAGTTCAAAATAAGAGAAGGTTGGATTGAAGCTGCAGGAAAATCGAAATATTGATTTTCTTATTACTATTTCTGACTTTGTTTAAATTTCCAGAGCAGGTGTATTTAAAAAATAAATAAAATAAAAACGGCTTTATTTTACATGTGCATGCAAAATAAATTAGAAACTCCAAGTTTATGCGGGCACGAAGCAGCTGCAATTGCGGAACGGACCGCGAACTTAGTGGGAGATAATCGCAAGTCACGCGGTTAATAGAGAACTCATCTCGCGTGCGCCTGCACCACATTGCGCCTGAACCGACCACGAAAGTGCGCGGGCGATGACGGCCGCCAAGCGGGCAGGTGATCGCGTCCTGCGCGCTTCTACTAGTACCCCGCCGCGGCAACCGCGAGCAACCGTCACCACCTATAGGCGTAAAACGCGCCGTGAAATGTGCTACTAATTTTACACACTTAACTATCACATTCTAGAGATGCCGCAGTCCCGCGGCAGGCGCGGGTGAAAACCGCTCCGTGAGTTCTTAGTGTAACGAAGAATGAGTTCCAGCGCCATCTAACGTGTAATAATTAACTATTATATACTAATAGCATTTTTACTAAAACGCCACCTAATGGTGACTGGCTGAACCAGATGAAAAAAATACTGAAATATTGTAATATAACTCTTACTCAAGTGACTCTAAGTTTATTTTGTTAAATTTTAAAATTGTGTTACGTCGTTTTCACGTTTTAAGCCCTACCTAATCAAAATCTTTAAGTTATGGTAGTAGATAATAGAGTGTAAAGTTTGTATTGCACACAAGCCAAAAAGTGGCGACATCGGTACTCGATCTTAGATAGCATCATTACATATCTCCCCTTTTTTTCTATATCTATGGGCGCTCCGCAGATGGATCAACTTTAGTTGACGTAACTGGCAACTTTTTACAAGTTTCCGTTAATGGTTGCCGGTTGTAGCAACTAAAAAGCGTAGTTGCTGGTTGCCGTAATTTTAAATAAACTTTCGAATTCCACTGTCAAGACTGACGCTGCAGGGAACGGGGAGGGAGTGAAGTTGCTTCACGAGTTGCAGTTGCCGGTTGCGGAAACAGACAACGTTGAAAGTTTCTAGTTGCGGCAATTAAGAATTTATTTAATCACGGATTTCGGTAATCGAAAACTGTAGTCGATTGCCGAAACTCTCAACTGAAGTTACTACGTCTGCACGGTTTCTTGAAATTGTATAACAAATGTCATAAACAGCCAGTTGCCGAAACTCGATGATCAAAGTTGCTCCATCTGCGCAGCGCCTAAGTATTACTAACACCGTGAAGCAGTGGTAGGCTAATGGTTTGACTTCCCGCCTCTCAAGCAAAGATCGTAGGTCCGAATCCAGGCTCCCACCTCTCAGTTTCTCGAAATTTATGTGCGAAATTTAATTTGAAATTAACCATTAGCATTCCAGTGAAGGAAAACATCGTGATGAAACCTGCATGTCGAAAAAGGTTCCCAGCCCTCGGAAAACGTGTGAAATCCCCAACCCGCATTGGGCCGGCATGGCGAACTACAGCCTAAATCCTGGCCCGAAAGGAGACCTGTACCCAGCAGTGGGACGTATAAATAAGTTGATGATTATTAATAATACGATGTCAATAAGAATAATATGTTTGTGTTCTAACAAAATATGGACCTACATTTTTTTAAAGAACTTAAATAGAATCCACTCTAATTCTCCTCCAAAAACACACTACGACGTCAAGTAAAGAGCCTGTTCGGGATTACGAACCCTGTTCAACATTAAACAAACATCACAATAGAACGCAGTCTATCTCAACACACAACATACTCGTGCGAAGTAATCTTGACCGTTTTGAGTGTGTTGGTGTAATTTCGCCAAGCTCTTATTATCGGTTTGAAAAGGTCCTTAGTACATCTCTTGTATGAACGGAAATGTACATAATATTCTTTGACTTCTTTTGTTTTTAGAAATACAAAATCTAGAGAATTATTGATATATGTGACAGAAATTTCAAAGCCAAATTCAAATGTATTTTATGACGGATCCTACATAAATTTGTATAAAACGCAAAAGAGTACTTCAAAAGATGGTCATTCTTAGTTCAAGTACTCGTGACAAATTTTATAAAACTTGGCTTGTCACAGTACATAAGTCGAGTTACAATGTGTGATAGCACAATTTCGCTCATTTTTATAAATTTCTATTCGAAAATATTTCATTAATTCAGTATCATTCTTTACAGATTGTTCGAAGAAAACCAAGACCTCCTGAATTTGTTTGAAAAGTTCCGTCAGTGTAGAACTAAAGAAGAACAAATCAACTCAATGGAACTCGCAGAGCATGCAAACAATGTTATGAACACATTGGATGAAGGCATCAAAGGGCTGGATGATCTGGACAACTTTTTCCAATACATCCATCAGGTCGGCGCCAGTCATAGGAGAATACCTGGTTTTAAAGTCGAATACTTTTGGGTGAGTGGTCGTTCTCTTTTTATTTTATGAAAATTTAACATTGAACTTTAATATGCTGTCCTAAATGATCTTATGGTAGAAATCACACTTTTTTAAAGTATTATCATCATCATTTGGCACATACAAAACGATTCAGTTCTTGTTTAAAAATTACGTGCACAAGCTATCCCTTCCTTACTCTGAAGTAATGAAAATATACCATGGTCTATTTAGAATGTATCGACTGAAAAAAGCAATTAGATTGTGAAAATATTTTGAGCTCGTTACAAAATGATGTCCACTCTAGCAGGTAAATGTAATATATGTAAGTATTACTCACTACGGAGAAAAACTGCTGATCGAGGAGTTTTTGCTACCTGTACAGCAGGTATTGCAATACTGTAGGTACTTAATCCTGTAAACATATTTTCACCTCACTAGCTCGGAAAGGCTTTCTTTCTCATTAGAAGTCTGCGCGCAAAAGCGTTGTTTCCACGCCAGGGTGGAAAAAGTTGTTGAAATTCGAACTTAACGATGGGGTGTGGTGCACCTAAGTTTTTCTTTCGATGAAAAAAAAAAACATAATGACACGTTTAACTACGCGATTTATCATAATAACTTATTTATGTAAAATAAATCCCTTAGGTATATTTTATTATTATTGCTGATTTTAAATTGACAACGATAACTAATTTTGTTTAGGTACTTAATTATTTTAATTTTTCGAAGGACTAAAATAATTTCAATAATCACATAAACTTATAAGTACGAGCAAAAATAAATTGATGAGGAGCAAATTCAGAACGCATCCGAAGATAAACTTTTTCTTTTGATTAAAAAAACCTGATGTTCTATTTAAGAAATGAAACTATTTTTCCGGATTTAAATCGCGTATATTTGTTTTTTCAAACAAACCGACGTTTCGGGCCCTTTACAGGTCCCATGTTCACGGTTGACTGAGGTGGTACAGTCTTCAACCAGTTATGTCTAATATTAATGCAAACCACCCTATTTTTTCACTATAGTTACAATAGTTATTAATATAATACCATATTTTCAATTTAACAAAGAAAACATTCCAATTTACGCTACATTAAGTTTTACAAATTATTTTATTGAATGAATTTTTATTAAGTTCAATTTAATATTAATTAATAATATAAATTAGAATTAACTAAAACATATTAATTAGTACTGCAGTCTTATGTCTGTTTGAGATTTTTCATTAGAGGAAATACTAGATCCCAATCTGGTGGTGCGGAGAAACCATCTTCCCTGTTGAAATTAGGATGTTTTTTAATTTCAATGGCGTCTCCCAGCATCCTGGATAGATAACGGACATCTTTTGCAAGGATCTGGGGTTTGTCAAACTTTATTGAATGTGTAGGTTTATCCATGACATGCTCGCAGACTGCAGACTTGTTTACTTGACGGTGTTTGACATCAACTATATGTTCTTTGACGCGGGTACAAACACTTCGCTTTGTTTGTCCAATATAAGAGAGACCGCACTCACAGTACTTGTATCAATCCACCCGTGGTTGGTTTGATTTACAGTCGCAAACAGATGGTCGTGGATTCGAATTTCAGCTTATACATCGCTGAATTTTTTGGACTTTATGTTTGAAATTTATTATGAGCTTTTCGTGAAGGAAAACACCGTTTGGAAATGTGTCCTTCATAACTGCAAAGCAATTTAATGATGTGTGTGAAGTTCCCAATACGCATTGGGGCCGCGTAGGAACTACAGCCCTCTCACTGAGGGAGAAGCCTGTACCCAGCAGCGGGACTACATAATTATAGGCTAAATTAGAATTAAAAAAATACAATTTAGTCTTTAAATATCATCATCAGCTTACATGCATTCACTGCTGGACATAAGCCTCCCCCTGAACACGCCAAATCTCCCGGTCCTGGGGTCTCCTCTCTTTTAAAATTAAAAGACGATGTCATGTATGGAGTCAAGTATTACTTATTTTACAGTGTTGTTTCGGACGAATGTCGGACGGAAAACGAGAGTACAGAACCTGTGTCGCCCGCATCCGGCAACTGTTTTTGTTTTTTAGTGCTTTTAAAATTTAATAAAATACGCAAGGATAAATGCAAAATATAAAAACTACACACACTCAGACTTCATTGTAACTTTATTACGTGATGTTTTTTTATCCAGTTTCCTGTATAACGGTTGCCTTGAAAAATTAATATTACACTTTGGCGAGCAATATCTCGCGATCTGATGAATTGCGTCCTACGATCTCTCCGAAAATATCCGCCAAATGGTTATTATTACCCATAAGTTTCCATTCCGGTTTTATTACTGATCTTTACGGTTGATGCTATGATGGAATTGATATAGAGGACTAAACACATATTACTTTCTTTATATTTGCAAATAGATTTTGCTTATAGTTACAACGTTTATTGGAATAAAGTAGTCCTGCGCTGGGTTCCAGACCACTCTGACATCGAAGGTAATGAGGCAGCGGATGAACTGGCAAAGGCTGGTGCTAGAGAAGCCTTCAGGGGTCCTTCATAGGGATAGCATATAGCTTGGCAAAGATCTCTCTGCTGAACCAGAGGACACACGTCTTCCGAGAGGTGTGGCTACAGAGCAAGAGTCTTGAGCATTCAAAAGTCCTGATAGCTAGAATATAACAAACTTATAGCTGAAGCCCTAATAGAGCGTCAAACATTGTGGAGGAGCGTTGTCACTGAACAGGAATAGCATCTGAATGCTGACTAGTGCCTTGAGAGAACATTGTGGCTTGAACAAGCACATGTCAAATATTGGGTAGAAAGAAAATGAAGAGTGTAGATTCTGCCACGAGCCACATGAAATTCCTGTGCATCTTCTCACTAACTTCTGCCTCTCGATGAGCTTACGAAGTTCCATACTGAGGACATACAGCTCACAATCAAAAAGCATAAAAAGTGTCCGAGGCAGGAAGTTTTCCAGTTCTTTAATGCTGTTGGCCCTTTTCGAACTGTAATTAGTGGTGATCACAATAGATCAGTTGATGGTCACAATGATGAGGGACTGCATATGCCTCGAATGAAACCACTCTAATAATAATAATCATAATAATACAGGGTTTATTGATATTTTTAGTATCGCCACGATCGTTTTTTGTTCATTACGATCAAAAAGATAATAGGAAAAATATCGTTTTATAGATAGTTTTGTATTTTTTTAAAATATAATTTGCCTAATAAAGTAAAAACGAATTAATATTTTGGAAATAAAACATTTTTTCGAATCTAAATCGCGTATACGTATATGTTTTTTTGAAACTAAACTAACATTTCGTCTGAATTAAGTCAACCGTGACCATGAGACCTGTAAAGAGCCTAAAACGTTGGTTTGTTTGAAAAAAAAAACAAATATACGCGATATAATGCCCACTTGCACTAAACGTAAGAAACCAATGCTTAAATTGATAAGACACTCACGATGTTCGTTTCTTTGAAAAAACAAATATACGCGATATGTTCACTAGCACTAAACTTAACTAGGTCTTAAACTAATGCTTGAAATGATAAGACATTTAACACTATATGTTAAGTTATTATTAACCAAATTATAGCTGTTATTTACAAAATTTAGTAACACAAAGTGTTAAGAGTGTCTTTTGCTTTGCAAATGCTTGTAATTTGTTAAGTTTAGTCCAAGTGGACAGTAGATTCTAAAAAATTGTTCCAATTGTAACAATCTTGAAAACCTAAGTACTCGATAAGCTAATATTTGCCATCACACTCGGTTTTCTTTTACAGAAACTCACAAAATTCTCGCCACTTTAAAACATTTTCACATCCAATAAATTAAAAATAAAATCAACACAGTCATCCGCACGTTATTTCCAGGGGAAATTCCTTTTTGGCTCTCTGGTCTTTATTTGCGATAGCGATTTGGTCTCGGCCCGTGAAAGAGGTTCTATACTTCGCCTTTTCATAAGAAGTATCGTCATTTATGTTTGAAAGTAAATTTGGATACCTTAAGGAAACAGCGCCTGAAGATAAATTAACAAAATTTCATACTTATTCTAAAAAACCACAAGTCTGTCAATAATCTCATTCGGTAGGCAATTTGCACAGAAAAGAAATGTGTGGTTATTAGAGATGCAAATATATTAAATATATTTTGCAACTTGAATAGCGAGTAAAACTAATTTATGTTTTTTTTCTTACAGAAAATCGAAGCGCCGTTCCTAGCAGCCGTAGAGTCGACGCTAGGCGATCGCTACACTCCAAATGTAGAGAATATCTATAAAATAACCATCAAATTCATACTAGGGACACTCGTTGACGGCTATGAGAAAGCTTCCAACATTCCTAACTCTACGTGAACTGTAAAAAATAAAATTTCAAAAATGTTGAAATATAAAAAAAACGGCCAAGTCGAAATCGACGCTCAGCGATGATTTCCGAAAATTAACGAATGCAAGGCAAGTGATTTTTGAATACGGAATTGTATCGGCCTTTTTTAAAACTGAAAGGTGTAAAAATTGATGAGTGAATTTAAAATGTGTCAATTTGTCAAGATCAGTGAACATCAGCATAATTTATATAATGGTATAATGTTATTTAATTGTTATATTGTTATACAGTTGTACTGATTTTTCATGCATTATGTGAGCCAAAGTTTAATAACACAAAATGAACTTTGTTTGTCTTTAGAAAACAAATTTTTGTTTCTAGTCAATAGAGATGAGAAACATATATAAATGATAAAATATCAAACCCGAGTGTTAAAGTAACTTGCATAATAAGACCAAAAACAAATAAAAATTATATTGCCAGAATTTTAACTTCAGAGTTTCGAGAACACATACATATTATTAATAAAAATCTTTTGTATGCGACGATATTTTTTTCGACGTTACAAAAAATTATATACTAAATTCATTCTGGGAATAGCTTGTAGATCGGATAAAATGTTCACAATGCAGGGAACACTTTAATTCTTCATGTTCAGTACGCTTTTTAATAGTATGACTATTATTTATAAGAAATATACCTAGCGAAATGTAGATATAGTGCCCAAGGTGATGTGAGTGTGTGTATAACCTTTAATATAAGTGCATGGTAGTGTGCGAGCCAAGTTCTTTTTAGAATATGAGTCTAATTGTGTAATTTAATCAGTGTAATGTATAAAATTTATGATAAATTGTCCTAATGGATTCTAGCTTCTTTCTATTTAATGTTTTTTTTTATTCAATAAATTTATGAACATTTTGTCGCTCATTAGAATTACACAAATAGACTGTTCGCACATTAACATGCTGTAAATGTCACATGTCGCTTACTAAAAATAATGTTTATATTATAATTTTGATTATTCGTTGTTGCTAAAGTTAAATTAATTATTGTCAAATCATTACATGGCTGGTCCAAATATAAAATATTAATTATTTTAACTTCTTAAAGTATTTTCGAATTAAAAATTATTAAAGATTACGTCTTCCGGTACGTATGTTATTTTCTATATCTGTTTATTTTAAATTTGCAGAATATTTTGAGTTTCAATAAACTGTAAAAATTTAAATAAAATGTTTAATATTTTAAATATGTTCTTGACGTAAAAAGTAAACTTCGTACTGTGTGAGCACTTCTTTAGGGTTCTTTAATATTTTTAGTATGCCTCATACTAAAAAAATACATATATTACGATGTATTTTCTTTAATATATTATATATTTTAGCAAACATTATCAAGAATAATAATTAACAAAGAATTATGTTAAGCACAAAATACGTTTAAGGTCGGAGTATTTTTTAACTGACATTAATTTCTGTGTAATTATTGCATTGTATCGTGAATAAAAATTTACTATTTCTAGCACAACCATAGATGTAAGGAACTAAGTCAAAATGGTGTCTACTATATTTTCTATTTCGACTTTAGACAGTCACTATACATTTTATGAGGGTATATTTTTGACATTTTTAAAGTACTAAAGAAATAATAAGTCTAAAATCAATTTCTAAAATAACATTTTAATTTTTGTATGACACTTAAAAAAAGTAAAAAAAGAGCTAAGGTCTACTAGCCCAAATGGGCTTGAGCGATATAGCTTATAATTTTACGAAATAAAACTCTTTACTGTACTCGTAAGTAAAACATTGCAAGTAAAACAGACAGCTTTGCAGAGAACATCTGAAATTCAAAAAGTGGTTCCTTCTACACTTTCACTATTACTGTAGAAATGAACACCCAATTTACTTTTTTAATTCATATCGAGACAAAATAAAGAATTATGCACCAAATACTATATTGTTTTAGTAGTATTTGTATAACAAAACGTGCAAATTATCGAAACCATCCCATTCAGAGCAAACACGAGGAACGGATTCGAAAGCAAAAAATACTGATTGTTATTATATTTCCTTTTTGGAAGCAATTGTTGTGTTACAGGGAATTATATTTAGCTTTGATATTTGTACAGAGTTGTTTGTTGTATGAAATTTCATTTCAGTTTACAAGTATTGCTGTTTACATCTTTTGATTAATTCTTTTCTGTGAGAATTTTATAAATGAACATTCAAATATATACATAAATGAAAGTAAACAATATTATATACATATGACTGTATTCACAACATTTCGGATTGCTTACTATCATTTTAATTATTTTATGAGAATCTACCTACCTGTTTTATTTACTTCCACCTAAATTTTTATACAAATACAAGCGAGTACATCGATGGACTGCATTTGGTACCGATCTTTGGTTTGCAGCGTGTTAAAAATAAGAATTTGAAAAAGTAAAATAACCGTCACGTTGTCTTGTCTTATTGACGATAAATTAA